ACATAATTACTTTGCATTAGTTGTTGGCAAGTAATCGCACAAGTATTATAGTCGTGAACCTTTAAATAAAATTTGTTTGCAACACATATATTATAGATAGTGTAGAAAATCTCTTAATTAAGTAATAATGAAATTGACCTGTAATGCTTTTTTAGCCACGAGTTCTAAAACTTTTCCTTCGCGCAGTCTAATACTATTTTTTTCAATATGTAGATAATTCGCTAACATTAATAATCGTTGACGACTTTTATAAGCATCTTCACGTTTATTTAAACAATCCTCTATTAATTTTAATTTATCGTGCGTAGATCTTACTTGAAGTGGTAGTATATCTATATTAAATTCGTTCAAAATTTGAAGTGAATTAATCAGATCATATTCTTCTCTGATAATATAATTATCATCAAGAATCAAATGCAAGCAAGTCCTGAAATCATTAATGTATTTATTTAAATAATATATAATACCATTCCTATAATAAATTATTTTTGTTATTATAGTAAAAATAAACATTTACTTAGCTAATTCCATATTTGGATCAGTAAGACTTTTGGAACTGTTGAAATATTCTTTACTAGCTTCTATTATAAGATTGACAGCTTTATTATATGAAACTTTCAGTAAGGACTCCTCTTTTTTTCTTGTTTCTATCAGTGTAACGCAAGTTTGAATATTAGATTTATCTCCTGACATTAATCTAGCAGATACACAAATTTCAAAACATATTTCAATATCAATACATGTAAATAACATGCCACGAATTTCTAACATTTGATTTAATAATTGAGCCCATTGTTTTTCATCTGGATGAGGTGTTCTGTATAATTATAATAACAAATCATTTTTATTACATCTTAAAATTAATTATAGAGAACATAGTATACTTACAATTTGTTTAAACTTCTTGCCATTTGAGTTAATAGTAATTTCACAGCATCAGGATTGTTTTTATTATTATGCAAATAATTTATTGTTGTTCTAACTTCATATTTATTTAAAATTTTCATGCTTTCGAGCTCTCTGTCAAGTTCTTCAAATGAACTATTATATTTTCCTTTACGATATTGATCTTTTGATATAGTATCTAAGATATATTTTGCTTTTTGATACATATTTAAATTATTGCATGCATATATGCAGTCTAAGGCTATGGTTACAACATCTTTCATTATTAACGTTATATCCGTTTCACCAAATTGTTTTAAGTATTCAAAAAATTTAACAGGTAATCTAAGATCATCTTTACTTATACAGACCAAGTAATTATGTAGTAGATTTTCTTCAGAATCTTTCTCCTTAAAATTTATAAAAAGTAATTAGAATGCTAGAAAAAATATAATTTTAGAATAATTTTATTACATACAGAATACTTATTCCTTCTCTTTATAAATGGTAATATAAGATTTTGTACATTATCGACGAAATTACTTTCATCTGATCCTGTCATTAATAATTTAATTTTTTCTAGATTATTTAATTTCTCTAATTTATCCAATGACATATCATCCAGATAAACTTTATAAACTAGATCATCCAATGTTTCCAAATCTATTAACAAATCTTCTAAATTATTAATATTATGATATTTTCCTATCCTGATTAATCCTAATGCATTGTCTACCATAAAACTAGTTTTCTCAATTTCATATGCTCTACATCTATACCATTTTTGCAATAAGTTTGGTGTAAGTTGTGCATTTCTAAAACCATAAATATTATTTGTTATTTGGATATGTTTAATTTATATAAGTAAATAATCGATTAAATCATACTTATATATATCTAATGATGGATCTGTTTCATAAAGTAATTGAGATTGATCATCCTCTACAAAGTTAATTATTTCATTAAAAATATTTCTCTCAGACCAATCCTTTCGACGTAATTCATATTGATCTGGTAAAAACAGTTGCCCTTCTAAATCACAATGTGGTAGCAGCTTTTGATAATTTGAAGGATTTAAAGTTTCTGGGAAAAAACTTATAATAGCTAGCCAATGTGGTAACAATATATTACCATAATAAGCAAACATAATTTCTACTGCTCTACAGTCACTGTCCTTTGCAAATCTGTATTTAATGAAACAAATATGTTAATCAATTTACTTGGGTTTTCATATAGAATGAATAGTAATAAATATAAAAAGTATACCTAATAGCGTTTTCAATGATAGAAAGCTGTCTGAATTCCTCATAAAAATTTTTATTATATGGAAGTGAAGGTCCAAGAATAATTTCATAAGTAAGTAATTTATCTAAATGATTCAAAAGTGATCTTCTATATTTAATTAAGTCCTTTTGTGCTTCTGATAAGTTATTGACATCAATAGATTCAATGATTTTGTTTATTCTTTGAATCTGCAAATTTTTATAATATTCATAAACATTTATTCTGTTTTATATCTCTGCGTTTTGTATAAAATGTACCTGCTTTAAATTACTTTCTTGATCTAATTCGACTGCATCATCAAAGGTATCAGCTAATACAAATTTTCCATCATCATATACACCAATGGCGAATAATGTTTCTAAATTGGCACCTTTTAATCCAAAATTTAATAATTCTCTTGCAGCTTCAATGGTATCTGGTACACGAGTAACACATTCATTTAAGACCCAAGATCTTTTTGTAACTTTACTTAAATGTTCATGAATAGCATTTAATGATAACTTAGATTTTCGCCACTGCGTTTGATAAACAAGATCTGTATCTAAACTATATGTATTAGCCAGTACTAAAGCCTCTTCATATTCCTAGAATATAAATAACTATACATAACATATCTTTCTTTATCATTCTAACATTAGAATTGTTATTATTATTATATAAATACCTCAATATCTATTTTTCTAGTATATAATTCTTCAGGAGTAGTACTTTTAAGTCCTAAAATTCTATAAGTCCTATATAAAACTTTTGAACGTTTTCTTTTTGGTTGAAATCTTTCCATATCAGTAATTGAATATAAAGTACTTTGTACTAATTCTGTAGTGTAATTTAAAATAGTAATAGGTTCTAATTCATCACTTTCTTTTTCACTTTCTGATGATGCTTCTAAAAAAATAAATTTGAATAATTTTACTTTGAAAATTAATTATATAAAAATAAATGTAATATAAATAAGAAATAATAATGACGGACCTAATAGTTGACCTTCAGTATTAGATTCCCTATTTCGTTTTTTACTTGTTATATAAGATTCACAATCTAAACATAAAAATCCACGATCTGGACCTAACTCACAAATTTGTGGTTGACCAGCTAAAAATTCTGGGCTTGTTCCCAATAGATTATTTAGATTTTTAGTTGAACATACTGAAATGGATCCTGTATATCTTGCTATGATAATAGCCTTTAAATTAAAAAAGATATACTTTATAAAATCATTTTATAAGATAATCCATATATATAATTGTATATTTAATGAAAAGTATTAAATATTACCTGATTAGACCACCATCCTATATCTACAGGATGAAATTCTGTGAAACCAGATGGAAATTTTTTGAGCTTTATAAGCCCTAATGGATTAGATATATTGAAACCTGGTTGTTCTTGCAATTTCCATTTATTTTGTAATATTAAATTTGGTAATGTCCAAAGTGATACAGATCCATCTGTATGTAAGCATATTAATGATTTATTGTTTGGTGATATTCGTATATTAAATATTATTGATTCAACTCGAAAATATAAAGTAGGTATAATATTCCACAGAGAAAATCTTGATTTAGTTTCAGTATTTTCATTAAAAGTAAATGATAGTTGACAATATGGATAATCATTCAACAATCTCCATGAAGTTAATCCAGTCTCTGATGCTGTAGACTAAGATAAAATAGACCAAATTTAATAAACATTTCATACATGAATAATTTTTTATAGTTTGAACTTACTGTTAGCTTTTTTGTGATTGCATTACCAGCAACATAAAATAAGGAATGTTTTTCATCGTATGCAACTGCATTGACTCCATTTTTATAAAAGTTACAAAAAGAAAATTCATAATTAAAACTAAAACCATTGGATAAAGATACATGATAGGATTTTAAAAGGCCACTGTATGTAATTAATATAAATTCGTAAGACCACTCTTCATTCTTTGTTCTTGGATCAAGAAATATTATAGATGCTATTGCATCCCCAGCTTCCAATATATCTGGGTTTGGTGATATTGTTTTTGGATTTATGTTAAAGATATTATTTCCTAATGAATTATAAAATGATACATATCCATTACTAGATGCTAAAACTAAAATTGTTCCATCTGGACTCCATGAAAGTTTTCGCCATTGTGGGAAAGCATCTTTTGGAACTAAAAAATGAAATATTATTAAATTCTATCTAAATTTCATTAATACTTCATATTATATAAATAAATATACCAGAAGCTTTGCCAATAATTGATTCATCTTTCGCTTTCCGTATTTCTATGATATTTTCTTGTAATACAGCCAATAAACGACCACAGTCTCCTACTGCAATTTTCCATGGTAATGTGAGACTTATTTGCTGTGATATACTTTCCGGTAAAGAATATCTATTATTAAGATATCTCAATGCATTCTTTATAGTACCAGTAGTTGGCAAAATAATAGTATCATTTTTGCATTTCTAAAAGAAATATAGAGATAGGCGTATTAGTAAAATATAATAAATAAAATATTAAGAATACATTAAATTCTTACTTACTATTAATTCTGGCTCCTGTTTTCGAATAAAGTATTCTAATAGTTCATAAAGAATTGGTTCACTTGACAAATCATTTGTGTCCTCCATTTTACAAGCAAGAAAATAATCAAACACATTCTGTCAATTCCTCATAAACAAGGAATTGATCATTTGGAATTTTTATTGCAAGTTAAACGTGGACAATGATGTACCAACTCAACTGATACGTGAGTCTTGAGTTAGTCTCGGTAGATGGTAGCACACTATTTAAGGAACTAGAGCGTTGCGTCTATATTATAAATGCCGGTATTAAACGCCATCTGTTTTTTAACATTTAATTTTTTAATTTGTGCTGTTAAGTTGGACATGCATCTTCTTGATATACATGCAATATAACCCTTTAACACGTATAGTTAACAGAATTAAAAGATACAATAATCCTAATACAATATTGTACGTTCACAAATTTTTTTTAGTCGACAAATCAGTGATAACATTTACAGTTAATTTATAATTACGCTGGATAGAGCATTTGAAAGACAAATCTAATGTAAGATAAGTAGTGGATAATGTAAAAAAAATAATGTTAATAATTTATTTTTTTTTTGCTTTATAATTCTCGTCTTTTTAGTAGTTATAAATATGCCTGATCAACCAAAAGTCATACTTGTAACTGGCGGGAGTGGATTAGTTGGTACAGCAATTAAAACAATTATTGAAGAAAATAAAAGATCGGATGAAAAATGGATATTCGTTGGTTCAAAAGATGCAAATTTGTGGTATGTAACAATATTGTATTGTTACTAAAGATTCGAACATATTTATAATAAGTATAATTGTTGCAGCGATAAAGTTAGTACTGCAAAATTGTTTGATAAGTATAAACCTACACATGTGATACATTTAGCTGCTATGGTTGGTGGTCTTTTCCATAACATGGCTCACAATTTAGACTTTCTGGTAATTGATATTATATTTTCAATGTTATGTTATAATTGTTCAGGTATTGAAGATTAAATTATATTGTAATCATTTATAGAGAAATAACATTCATATGAATGATAATATTCTACAAACTGCTCATGAGACTGATGTTAATAAAGTTGTTTCGTGTCTTTCTACTTGTATATTTCCAGATAAGACCACATACCCTATTGATGAAACTATGGTAATTTGTATGTAATATAGCTTATTGTATCCATGTATCTCATTCAATATTCTTATATAATAATAATATTTCAGATTCACAATGGCCCCCCACATCCATCAAATTATGGTTATAGTTATGCCAAAAGATTAATAGATATCGCAAATAAAGGGTACAATGAACAGTATGGTAGATTATATACAAGTGTTATACCCTGTAATGTATTTGGACCAAATGATAATTTTCATCCAAGTGCTAGTCATGTTATACCAGGACTAATAAGAAGATTATATGATTTAATAGAAGATGGTAGAAAAATGATTAGTTTAACATGCTTTTCAAAATGTACTTTATGTAGATTTTTTGCTAATATATATATATATATATATATATATATATATATATATATGTATATATATACATATGTTTAACAGGAAATACAGAAGATAAAGTTTTCACAGTATTAGGCTCTGGCAAACCTTTGAGACAATTTATTTATAGTTTGGATTTGGCAAAATTAATAATTTGGGTTCTCAGAGAATATAATTCTGTAGAGCCAATTATTTTATCAGGTAAATGCAGTTATTTATATATCATATTACGTATTATTTCATAGTTAATAAAAATGAATGTTTTCAGTTGATGAATCTCAAGAGAGAACGATAACTGAAGTTGTCAATGCAATAGTAAAAGCTTTCAATTATAAAGGTTCAATTCGTAACGATGTTAGTGCTGCAGATGGGCAATATAAAAAGACAGCAAGTAACGCCAAATTACGAAGTTATTTGCCAGATTTTCAATTCACTCCATTTGATCAAGCAATTAAAGAGACGGTCGATTGGTATATAAAAAACCATGATCAAGCTAGGAATTAAACACGTATAAGGATCGATAACATAAGATATATAAATAATTCTGTACAAATTATAAATAAATAATGTACATATTTATATGTAATTTGAACATTTTAAGGTAATAGATTTCAAATTTGCAGATAATTACCTACTAATACAAAATATGTTAAGATATAACGAATAAATAAAAATAAATAAAAAATATTTTTCTATATAGTTTAAAATAATGTAATTGAAAGTATGTATATCTTAAAATATTTTCAAGTATTACAAAACAATAAATAATTATTCAATAAGTTCAGGTAGATTTTTTCATTTTATTAATTTATAATGTTTAGCTCTACTTTCATAATAATACCGTTGGTTCTATAGCTTGCCAGCAAAGAACCCTTCTTGACCGATTTTTGTAGTTACTCGTTAAAGAAAAAGGATAAACGATCATACGCGTGGCAAGACACTAGGGACCGTAATTTACAACGCGTTTGTATGAGCGTTCTTTCAAGTGGTTGAGAAAGAAAGATTACTATGAAGATAAAGCTAGGATGTTAGAGACTACTCTTTTCCTTTATATTTCTATTGTTTCATTGTTATTTATAGAAGTAAATAATAGTTCTTTTCCCCAGAGAACCTACATAGGTGGTACGGGCTTAGCGAACTTGGGAATCCGAGCTATAGGAGGCAAATTTTAAATTATTTGCCATTTTTCCAATAGTATTATTTACAAAAGAGTTACATATTAGTATCAAATCTGTACAATTAAATGTAACTCATTTGCACTTTGTTAATAGACTTTATTTATCTGCTACAGTATACATCATTATTTCATTGTTAGATCGCTTACAAGAGAGCATCAATATTTTCACGTAAAGTCGAATCACAAAGGAGACAATAATATATTTTGAAGGTTTTCTCTAGTAAATAGACCTAATCGCAACAACATTAAATTCCAAAAAAATATCCAATTGAAACCTGAAAGAAAGACTTGTTTGTATGTCCAAGAATTTCTTTAGAAAAACATTGAAAGAGAATGTATTACAAATGAGCGCCGTTGGGGGTGGCATCCCATTCCCCACTACCTTACCACCACTCGTCTCTTCCCGAGTGGCATCGGGTACGTTCGTCGCATCGAAGATTGCCGGCAGTTCGTCAGTCGCGCTTTAGCAGCCTTGCGCGATGTATCATGGAATTAATAGGGGTAGGAAAGTTAATGTTGGTGGTAATGTGTTCGATGTGACAAAGGCGACGTGTTTTAAGGTATGATAAGGCACGTGGTAGTGCATCGTTTAACGTTATCTTAAAAAAAGAAGGAAAGAAAAAAGAAAATAAAGGAGTTCTCGTTGTAACCACTTTGCAACGTTTATTTGTCCTTCGTTCTTTGTCAGTGTGGTGTTTCCTGTGTGTTTTATTTCGAAGAAACGAGATGTCTCGGACGCGTGGAAAAATTGAAAGGGGTTTACGGCCGAGGTAGCGCCGGCCTCGCGCGATCGGCCAGCCGAAGGGAACAATTTCTTCGATGGTTCGTCGACGATCTTCGAATGAAGATGATTATTCGAGGAAAGATATTAGAAAATACGACGACGCGAATACTACCGGCGTGCCTTCTTCCCTTCTTCGATTACTTCGTGCTGAAACGTCAATGATATTCGTTTGGCGAATTCTACCCCCTTCGTGATACAAGAGTAATGTGATTTACGCATTAAGAAGAAAACAAAAGGAGACTAATTTAAAACCTATAAAAGAAGAGAATAATCTTACTGTCTACTTTCTTATCGAGTGTAAGTTGAACGATTTTGAAACGGAATGCTAATTAAATTAGATGTCTATCGATCGTCCGTGCGTGCGTGCCTGCGAAATGGCGGTGGAAAGGATCGGATATGAAAGAACGTGTATATGTATTCATAGACTGTTTCATTGTGTCCTTCTCTTTATCTACAATCCTTCTTCCATTCTCTTGTTTTCACACGAACCGATTTACAATGTAGATTTATAATCTCACATATAGTCGCGTGCCGACGCACGGCCGCATGGCTTTTCAAGTATCTCTTTTCATCTTTATGTTTATATGTTTATGAATTCCGAACAATTGTGAGCTTTCCTTTAGACTATTTTTTTTTCTTTTTTAAACGTTTCTTTTTGACTTTCATCGAAATCAGATCGAGGAAACATAATATGATGTCATTTAATTTTTGGAATGATCTCTAATTTGTGAAAGTTGAAAGAGAGGAAGAGAGGAGATGATGAATGAGATCGAGAATATATTTCGGACGTATTTTGGCATCTTGACTATCGTATAAGATTTCAACATTTTCTCGATCTTTTAACATTGAAAGATGCTCAATACATTGGTCTGTAAAAGCTTCTAAAATATAGCATGAAGAAAATTACGTAATAACTTCTATCTATATTTATAACTTTATTAAGTGTATGTTTGTACGAACAAATGATTATTTCCCACTCGAAATTTCTTTGATATAGTCACCTTTCTACAAAAAAATGTTTTCGTTTGTTTAATTCTCTATCTCTCTCTCTCTCTTTTTTTTTCTCATATCTATTCGTTTGCAACAAGTGCGCCTTCTATTTTCATTTTTCCCGATGTCCTGCTTTGCGTTATTCGATTAATTATTAAGTACTAACTGTTTACATTTGTAATGTTCTACAAAAAATTTTGCTATAGTAAATGTATTTTGCTCTTCGATATATACATATATATATATACGTCCAACGAGATTGTTAATGAGATATTCGATAAGATATCACTTAAAACATAGAACAAGTTTTGGCGCTTTTTGAACTAATTAGATTAAATGTTCCATACCGGCAAGAAATCCTTTTAAAATCTCTTTTCAAAGTTAGCATGCTCTATCTCTATTGGAACGATCTTTAAACTTCTTCGAGTGAGATGCAACATCAATTTCGAAAAGTTTTCTTTTCCTGAAAAATCTCTAAGAAAGTATTTTCTCAAAAGTTATTAAAGATAAAGAACTTCTATATCTTTCTTTTTCGAACGAATAAAAAAAAAGAACGAAATAAAGATTCTACGGTTCTATTATTGAACGCTTTCTATAATAATTCTCTTGGTATTCACAAAGGGTCGTTGTTCGAGTTACTGATAGGCCACGTTTCTCAACTCCCTAGAAACTTCTCAACTTTCTCACACTTTTTAGACTTCTACAATCTATTGATTTATCTTAAATAACATACATATTATCGTCCTTCTATTTGCTAATATAATCATTCGAATATTAACGGAATCGATAATTAAATTTCATATAAATTTTAGTTGCAAGATATTGATAGATCTATTACATAAGATGTAATTCGATCTTTTCTAAATTTGGTTCGTAGATTAAAAAAAAAGAAAAAATAAGCCACAATGGCGCTATTCCATTCATCATACAACGATCAGTGGAACGTGCCAGTCCCGATAAGTGGATAATCCTTGTAATAGGATTTTACTTCTTGTTTTCATCGCTAATAAATCTCGAGGGATAGTTATTTCGATGAAATATATCGCGAATCCACAGGTTCAAAAGTTCATATTCGTAGTAGCATTTATGTTATCAGTTGGAATAGTACCATGTGAAATACATATATATATATATATATTTGAAGGATAAGTTTTGAAGAGAATAAAAGAATAATATAAAAGAGTTATATAGAATAGTGTCTAATTGTCGTGATGCATCATCCTTTTTATGTTTTCACCTACGTTTTAGCTTCAAATTGCAATTTCGTGAAAGGTGTTTCGTGTTTCTCGTGGAACGACAAAGAATGGACGAGAAAGTCGTCGGTAGAAGGAATCGTCGTGCCGCTCGTTATGTTCTTGGTGGTGCGCGACGGCGTGCTCGTCGACGAAATCATCGACGAAGTCATCGACGAAGAGGCTCCTCGGAGCTTGAATTACTCGAGAACAAGTTGTCCTCTTCTTTCTCAACCTCAGTATCTCGCCTTATACTCTTCTTCGCTGGTTCTTCGAGGAAACGCCGAAGGAAGGAGGACGAAGAATTATACTCATCGTTATCCTTGAAGTTCGTCGGCCATTTAGGAGCCCTTCTATGAGGAGGGTCCGTGTATTTGAATGGAAACCGAAGTGAATGAAAAGAGAAGACGATATGCCTGGCATCGTGGTATTCCGACGACGCTGGAGCGTCGGCAGCGACGATCTCGTTGTACCTGGTGCCTTCCTCTTCATTTTGCATCTTATATGGTAAGTTATAGAGTATTCATTTTAAATTTGATTCATCGATTAAATCTATATTCACTAACTCTCTCCTATATTCTTCCCTTTACAATAATTTCTATGAATTTTAATTAAAAGCATTCAAGGATTCATTGTTTTTTCAAGGATTTCATTTTTCATAGAATAAATGCGTCCACGTAACATATGTATGTTTGATTTATAATGAACGATGTCAATTTACGCCCACAAGAAATTCGAAATTTAAAAGGAATTTGTTTGGATTGGGCCAGAAAATGTTATCGAACGAACTAAACAGAATATATACGAGTTTTTTTTTTTTCTGACATGGAATATTAACTCCAAAACTCAACCAGTCCACTTTTTACCCGCGCAAAACGTCAATTTATACTGGCTTCTCACTTTGTTTTCATATAGTACGTAGGACAGCATCGAAAACTTTTCAAGTACGTTTACGATCTGAGGGAGAAGGTAACGCTAAATTGCTAGAGGCAAAGATACCTAAGTTGCTTCTTGACCTAGTATGTTTCCCATCTACATTGTTTAAACCAACAAAAATGCATGATTTTCGTTTTCATTTATTCTTGTATTTAATTTTAACTGTTGGAGCGAATCGTACAGATAACTGTTCTGTACATAAAATGATTAATTTAATTGAAAAATGATAAACAATGACTAATTATAATTCATTCTAATTACTATTCATTGCAAAAACTGTTACAATTTACAAAGTTATAATCTACATTAAAAGAATTTATTATCTTAAAATGCACTTGCTAAACATTTTGAAGGTTGTTCTATTTTTCTTATAATCTAAAATTATTGATAATCTTGCTCAAAAATTTTATTCTTATTTTAGTTTTATATAAAAAAAAAAAAAAAAAAAAAAAAAAAAAAAAAAAAAA